GCGCAACACACAGTCCACTACACATTATACGTTGCAAAATTCCTTTTTACTGCTAGTCGTGCTGATGCTTTACGATCCACAACATTGCATGAGAACAGTAACATATTTTGCATATTTAACGAGTAGTCAAAATGTTATATTATTTCGAATTAACTCCAAATGTGTCTATTTCTGTTTCCTTTCATTGGCTCAAGGTACAGCTCCTGCACAAAACAAATATTTTTCATATTTTCGTTTCTGGGCATGTTTATGCAGATCATGGTCTGGTTACATTCCAAATTATTTTATTTTTGTTGTTATGATGACATCAGATTCATTGTATCAATCAACTATACATGCAACTTTGACGCAGACAAACTGATATTTCATGCCAGGACTATAATATGCAGCATAATGGGAAAGAATGCGTATGTTTTACTGATCGAATAAAATATTTGTCAGAATGTATCTTTTGCACAAACTAACAAAATCTGATCGCTTCATTCAAACACCTCCATCTCGTGCTGAGCACAGTATGCTACAATGAAACAACATGCGTAACTAAAACATTGTACAAAATAACATAAAGAAGACGAGTACTGATTATTACAATCGGTTTGTTAAACAACTCACAAAAAAATACTTCAAACAGTGCTTTAAGTAGTTCCAACATTAGAAAAACAAATGCAGGTAACATTTTATATCAACACCAGTTGATCAACATTGATGACATTTATGTTCAATATTTGTTCGAATCGATTTGATGATAAGAAATTCATCTGGTGTGGAAATGATGACAGGAAAAGAAATGCAGCGATACTAGCATACACAATACAATTAGTGTATATGCATTGTATTCAACATAACTATGATGATGTATTGATAATTGCATATTGTAATGTAGCGTTCAGCTTTTCTTGAGGTAGATCAACACAATCACAATATGAGTTTTCTGATCAAAAGCAAAATATGTGTTTAACAACAACGTACTCATCACTCAACAATACTTTTATTCTTCAATCATCATATTCTTATATCGTACAGAAGTGCACACAATTAACAACAGTGTGTTGACCATGAATACTTCGTTCATGCAAACAACTAGTTTATCATTTTCTGTAACAGGTTGATGAGAAAAGCAGGCCTATCTTGTGTGATCGATGCCATAAACAAGAAAAGAACACACTAAACTTGTAAAAATGTGTGCAGCATGATTGTCAATATCAAAAAAAATCATAATTTAGTGCTGGCATTCTCCTCTAATCACATGACTTTCACATGTGAGGTGTCAAAAAAGCACGTACCGATAAGAATGAATTTCCTTATCATTTTTGCAAATTTAAAACTATAAAAGGAATGAATTCTGTGGATACCATGATTTTTATAGCAAACTATTGTCGATCCATCAATTGTTATGTGCCAACACAGACGTTAAAAAGGGTGATGACGGCTCAGAATATGTCGCAGAGAAAGAACTTAGGGATGATCTTGAGCACTTACTGGATGAACCTGAAGAACACTTGGATCTCAGGTGTGCTCGCATTGTGAAATATCTCAAGGATCTAAATGATCAAACACTCAGTAAGGATCTAGAAAGGTGCAACAGGTACATGAACGAGCAAAGATTCAATCACGAGTATTCAAAGGCAATATAATTTGTCTACGAGGCAAAGAAGTTCAGCTTGTATTTTTCTGCTCAACAGGAAGATAATGCAGAGCTAATGGGGGGATTGAAGGTTTTTATTGACGAGAAGAAAATTAAGATGATGAAAAGTGTTTTTAAAGAACTCGATCATGTGTATTTAACAGTTGTTGTTCGTAGTTCCTCACAAAATTTGTCTGATATCAATCTCAATGATACAATGCAACAATTCGATTTCAGTACCGATCTGTATCTTCTAAACTTGATGCATGAATATACAAGTATAAACGGTAAATCTTGTAAAACGGTGCAAGTTTCATTAATCTCGAAAAAACTCCAAAATTACGAACACTTAAAGTGAAGCATATTTTTGTAACTGATGAGTTCTTAGAGGAAGTGAGCAAAATGACACTAGAAAGTCTAAGTTTTACTGGATGTATTTTTCTCACTTCAAAAAGTATTGAGAAGCAACCGAAAGAAATTAATGTGGCATTGAGAGAATTGTGTAAGAAAATCTGCTTTTACAAGTACAATATACATGCTGGATACATGCAACTTCGGACTGTGTGTTGAGTACGCTGTACAACAATTAACATCGATCTAACCATTTGTACAAACTACATATGTGACGGCAAACTTGTAAATGTTGTGCTCGAAAAAAATATGGTAGATGGTCCAAGACAGCCACGATTATTTGATGTAAACACTGAATTGTCTCTCGACTTTCTGGAAATTGATGCTATTATTGTGATTTTGAGCTGAGTGGATCCACCATGGAGTAAAAGTGAAAGGACTACAATCACTAAAAAAATAGGTGCGGATGTGTAAATGAAGCACTCATCAAAATTATAAGTGAGCAGAAATTACTATAGTATATCGAAGTAATGCTGCTTGGTAGTTCGAATATTAATAATGAACTATTGTTGGGAAAATGCCATTCGAAAGATTCATTGGAGGATCTATTCATCAGTTCTGAGCTGACTATTAGTGAACTGGTAAAGTCAATGGAACCTTTAAACAGGCTGAGTGGGTTTCACATAGACAGTAGATCTATACTATCATCATTTAAAAGCCCCGATAATCAAAATGATCGCAAATTTCAATCTGCTAATGCTGGTACTAACGAAAAGCATTTGGTGGAGAGTAAGAACATAGCGTACCTAAAACACCATACTCTTCATATCAAATATGTGTAACACAGGGGGAACTAATCGCACTTATATCATTTGGAGACTTTGCAGCTTTTATAGACATTAAGAAACTGGTGATACATGGAGCACCGAAACTTCCAGATGAAATTCAGGAATCATTAAAAATTATGCAAAAGCAGCCAAATAGCTTTATCGAAAGTATTTTTATAACACTCAAACAGTTTAAAGTACTTGTTATTAGTCATATGAGTTATTGCGTATCTAAAGAAATGTATATGTCCTTCATAAGCTTTTTTCGTCAGAGCATGATTTGACAAGATGCAAATAATCAAGTGTGCGATGAAGAGAGAGTTATTTGGGAACTCTATAAATAAAAATTGAGCTGTATTTCGATGTATTAATGCAGGTTTACCCTCCTTTTTTTCTTGGATATTAATTTTTGGCAGTTATTGTTCACAGTCTTTGTTGATCAAAGCAATCTAGGGTTGGCAGGTGACGTATGGAATCCAAACAGATAATGCTATTGTGATATATTGACATTTACTGTGTTCAAATATCTTTGTACAGTGGCTCAATATGTAATCCACGCTTCCTACCTTGGAACGTATTTTAGTCGCGAACCTGTCCCGTGAGAATCAGTAAATTCTTCTGCTGAAACTGTTGGGAGGTCGATTAAATGCTTTTTGAATATCCATATACTTGTGGCATCATATTTATGAACATTTGCATAATGGATCGTACCATCTTTTACACCACTATTATTATAGAGAAGCCTTGGTACGTCCAATTGAATATTTGCCGATTCACAAGCAACTAAAAGCTCTTGATACTAGAACCTGCTATCAATCTGCCAAAATCGATAAGAAGAATGCCAAATGGGAGTCAACTGACATTGCAACCTTTTGACTGTAGAATGTCTTTTGCCGATAACTAACGATTTTTAGTGACAAAATATGTTTTTTGTCAGTAAGTACTCGTATGACATACTTGCATTAACCATTATTATGGCTGAGAACATCATCATCGTTTTTACATGGGTATCAAATTTGCTGTGCTAGTAAACCATAAGCAATTAATTAATCATTAGTCATAATAATAGAAAACAAAAAAAGTAAACGGACACACCAAGTGGTGCAGCCGAAGTGTAAGCCGCAAGTTTACACACACTTTTAAAATTACAATTCTTCTGATAAATCTTCTTCTTCCATCAAGGAAGCTGTTGTTAAACCATTTGCTAAGCCGTTTACAAGGCTGCAAAAATTTATTATGGAGACTTGGATCGACAAGATGAAGAGTGGCGAAAAAATAACGTCGATTAAAAAGGAAGTTGAGGAGTTTAAAAGGAAATGTGCGCTGGAAAAGGCACAAGCCAAGATATCCGCCACACTTAAAAAACAAGTGCAGGTTACGATGCCGAACTACGAGCGCAGACACTGCGTTGTAGTTCAAAAAAATACTATGCCTGTCTCATTTGGCGAAACAAATGCAAAAGAGACGAAAAAACAGATTGACAGCCCATCAATCTGTAACAAGAAAATATGTAAAAAAACAAAAAAAATAAAAAAAACGAAAAAAAATGTTTAAGTTAACAAAAACGTAAAATGTAAAAAAAATCTTCAAATGTTAATTTCCAACTACAAGTTGGCAATGGAGCAGGAAAAACTGAAGATTGAAAAAAATAAAAATAAACTAAACACTAAT